TTCAAATAATCATCAATAATATCAAGCTAAAATCATCAATTTCCCCCAGAAATAGAAACCAATATCAAAACCTCAAGAAACTCATTTTTAAGAATCTACAACCAACATGCATAATAAGCCCCTTCAAAAATCCGAATCTCAAGTAAGATTTCAACATCTTAATCTTTGAAATCTTAGTTTCTAACATAAGAAAGAAGTTACCTCAAAGAAAAAATGTGTTCCCAAGTGAATAGAAGCTCCAAATCTTGGTGGTTATTTTTGGTTCTAGGTTGAAAACGAGTTGAAATGGGCTGGTTGAGTTTTTAGCTCATTCTCTCTTAAAAACCTAGGTTTGATTCTGAGTTTTGGGTGAGAAAAGGAGTGAGAGGAGAGAAGAAAAGGTTATGGTCGGAGTTCTAGGTTTTTTTTGCTGAAATAGACCCAAAATGAAGTCTAAACATGCTAGAAACAAAAGTAGAGTGACCTTATAGGAGGACAAGTGTCTAGGTTTTTCTATGTCTATAACATTTGTCCTAACCTCATAAATCAGCTCTAAAGTCTTTATTTTTCTTCTTCATTTAGGTGCCTAAAGTTCACTCAATTTGCTAAAAGAGCATTCTCTCACAAAACTCAAAATAGCAACTAAGTCCTCAACACATTTACATAAAACCATATAATAAAATATAAAATAATAATTCATCATTAAAGCAATCATAATAGAGGTAAAATATCATAGCAAATAATCATAATAAATATAATTCCTTTTCTTCATAAGTTTAGTACATTGAGTTCCCACATCGAGCTAGTTGTACTGCACATTAAAACTGAAAACTCGATTAGTGAAGCTATAAGTTTAATAAAATCATATGATAGCTATCATAATAACATATAATGCCAACAAATAACTTTAAGGTAAATGGCAAATGTGATGCATGATTTTAATTTATTAAATTTATTTATTATTGGCTTAAGGCTTAATTAAATCTCGGGTATTACAGAAAATCTCTCCAATATGATTTGAAGATTACGTCTCCTCTTCCAACTGTAAGTTTTTTTATTTCTTAATTAAATTTCTATGTCATAGCTTGTAACTACTGAGGGCATGTTCTTTTGTTCAAAAAAACTCAAAAAAAGACAACTCGAGTTTTAATTTTATTTAAGTTCATATTTTTTTAAGTTTTAACTTTATTCAACTTTACTTAACTTTATTCAAGTTACAACTTCAATTCAAGTTATAACTCAAATTTAACTAAAAAACTACACTCAAGTTACCTTCCAAAAGAATCACTTCACTCTCTCTCTTTATTCAAGAGACTTATTTTTCTTTCTTGAAAAATCATCTCTAGCATTTTCTTCATAAACTCAAAAAACATGAAGAAAACGTGATCTGTAATAGGTTCATAAACTCATATTTCTTCTTCATTTTGCTTGACAGATCAGAGAAGAAGGCAGGGAAAGGTCTCCCTTCAAAACTTCATTTTTGCTGACAACTTCTCTTGCAACAGTAAGATATACTTATTTTTTATAATATTACATCATATGATCTCCTCATTTAAATTTTTCTTCTTTTTTTATTTAAAACTTGTTTTTTTACTTCTTGGAAAAAAAAAAAAAATGAAAGATACATTTGCCTCTTTTTTTTCCATAAAGTAACAAAATTACATAAATTATGTAAACATTCACGAATTCATAACAAACCAAAAAAAAAAAAACTCATACTTCTTCTTCCGTATTTTCTAGAGAGCACGACTTCCATCTCAGTCTCTCAATACCCTTCTGTGATCTTCAAGAGGGAATCAGCAAAACATGGCAGAGCTCGTGGCCGAAGCTTTTCTCACTGTTGCGTTTGAGAAGCTATTTGAACTGTTGGCTTCTCCGGAGTTTAGGAGCTTCTTCCAAGGAAAGAAATCCATTGACGACAAGCTCGGGTTGTTAAATGAGAAATTAAAGACAGCTAGTCTGCTGCTGAATGATGCTGAAGATAGGCAGATCATTGACCAAAAAGTGAAAGAATGGCTTGATGACCTCAAAGACGTCATTTTCAGAGCAGACGACTTGGTGGAAGAGATCAAGGCTGAAGCTCGATCCAAGCAGGAATCTGAAAGCTCAACGAACGCGGTGAAGAAGATGGTGGCCTTCCTTACTCCCTCCCTTGTATTTGACAAAACTATACGAGGTGAAATAGAGAATATCTTGAAGGATTTGAGTTTCCTCTTAGAAAGAGCGAGTACCCTCTGTTTGAAGCATATTGATCGCGCTCAAAACATCCGATCTATACAAAGATCACCTACTCCTTTGCTAGAAGAAAGTCATGTTCATGGAAGAGATGATGACAAAAAAGAGATCCTAAAGTTGTTGCTATCAGATGAGATTTGGGGAAATAAGATAGGGGTGCTTCCCATCGTGGGTATGGGTGGTCTTGGCAAGACCACCCTTGCTCGGCTTGTATATGATGATGACAGAGGGAAGAAACATGGTTTTCATCACAAAGCATGGGTTACTGTATCAACTGAGTTTGATATATTCAAAATAACAAAGATTATTTTGGAGCAAGTCAGTCCCCAAACACCTAGCAGTGAAGAGCAAGCGGAACTTCAAGGAAGATTGAAGGAGGCTTTAAGAGGGAAGAAATTTCTCTTTGTTCTTGACGATGTTTGGGATGAGAATTATGACAACTGGGATTCTCTAAGGAGCGCTTTCTTGTCAGAAGATTCTGGAAGTAGGATTATTGTGACGACACGCAGCCAGAAAGTTGCATCAAATGTAAAGACCGGGGGGAAATTTCATCAGCTACTAGAAGTATCCAACAAGGATTGCTGGAAAATTTTTGTAGACCATGCCTTCAATGGGGACTCTGTTCTAGATCCACGTCTGCAAGAAATTGGGGAAAAAATTGTTGAAAAGTGCAAAGGCCTTCCATTAGCTGTAAGATCTGTTGGTGGTCTCTTACGCTCTGTCAGAAATCCAGAAACATGGGAAAGCATTCTAAGGAACCATGTGTGGTCCAAAAACCTACGCAACAATATTCTTCCAGGGCTCTGGCTCAGCTATTCTTGTCTATCTTCAAGTCTCAAGCAGTGTTTTGCTTATTGTTCGATTTTTCCCAAAGACTACGAATTTGAAAAGGAACAAATAATATTGTTGTGGATGGCGGAAGGGTTTTTGCAATCTGATGAGAAAGGCAAGAGAATGGAAGAAGTTGGGGATGAGTATTTTGATGAGCTAATGGCAAGGTCAATATTTCAAAGATCGAATCAAGATGAGTCCACATTCGTCATGCATGACCTTGTGCATGATTTAGCTATCTTTGTATCGGGAGAAGCCTGTTTCAGAGTTGATGACGCGGCAAATGTAGAGCAGGCTTCAAAAAAGGCTCGTTATGTATCAATAGAGGAAGAATCAAGTGAACTCGAGTTATGGAAAGGTCGGTTTGAAGCCAAGCATTTACGAACCTTCTTATCATTGGAGTTCCATTTGTCATTTGATCAAGAATTGGTTAAAGAAGTGTTGAAAGGAGAAAGGTACTTAAGAGTGCTCTCTAAACTAGCAGCAACTGACTTCCAAACATTGAATGATTCATTTTGTAAACTGAAGCATCTAAGGTATTTGGACTTGTATGGGAGTGAGATTGAAGAGATACCTTGTTCAATTTGCACTCTTTACAATTTGCAGACTCTGCTATTGTCAAGATGTCGAAAACTTACTTGGTTGCCTAAGGACATGGGAAGACTAATCCACTTGCGTCACCTTGATACCACAGACACACCTCTAAAAGAGATGCCACCACGGATGGGTAACTTAAAAGAGTTGCAGACACTGACTGATTTTGTTTTAGGCAAAGATGGAAGTGGTTCGAGAATTCAAGAGTTAGAAGCGCTGCAACACCTGGGTGGAAAACTTCGAATTTCAGGGCTTCAAAACATTGATAATAATAGCGACAATCTGAAAATCCATTGTTTGAGGCATAAGGAGAAACTTACCGAGCTACGTTTGGAATGGGAAGGTGAAGTTACTGACACAATAAGAGCAAGGGAGTTATTAAATGCACTGGAACCTCACACAAACTTGAAGAACCTCGTTATTGATCAATATACAGGTTCAAATTTCCCAGATTGGCTCGGTCATTCTACATTTTCCAAGCTGGAATCGATTTCTCTAAGTGGTAATGAATATTGTTTCTTCCTCCCACCACTCGGGCAGTTACCTTCTCTTCGAGAGCTTCAGATTAAAAACTTCCATGGAGTGGAAAAAATAGGTGATGAGTTTTACAATACCTGTAATAGTTCTTCTATTACTCCATTTCGATCTTTAGAAAGTCTAGAGTTTTTTGATATGAAGAGCTGGAAGGAGTGGTCATATATTGGCCGAGACGGCAAAGAGGGAAAATCATTTCCTCGTCTCAAAAAGCTTTGCTTTGATGGTTGTCCAAACCTAGCTGGGAGCTTATTACCTGATTGTGACACAATAGAAACTCTTGAGATTTCAAGAAGCTTTAGATATATGAAGTCTCTTCCATTAGATAAATTCCCAAAGCTTAAGAAGCTGAGGTTGCAGAGTTGTGAAAATCTCAAGGAGCTAATTGTGGAGTCACCTGATGTGATAGAAACGCTATATATTTGGGACTGCAACAAATTAGAGTTCCCAAGGAGCCGCCATTATGTACACGCTAAAGAGTTGAGTATTTCACATTATTACATAATGTCGTTACCATTAGACTACTTCCCAAGACTTGAAGTGCTTAGGTTGAGCTGTTGTCAGAATTTGAAATCACTTACCTTTACAGAAAGAACGAGCACTGCACACAAGTCTCTGATCAATTCCTTGGACATACACCATTGCAAGAATTTCAGGTCACTGCCGGAACACATGCACAGGCTTCTTCCATCTCTTTCTGATTTGAAAATGTTACATTGTCCAGAAATTGAGTCATTTCCTGAAGGAGGATTGCCTTCAAGTCTAAATAAGCTTGCAATTTATTACTGCCGCAAACTCATCGGACAACACAAGCACTGGGATCTGCAAAAGCTGACGTCTCTGACATCATTAGGCATTGATGGCAAGAAAGACGTAATGTTGTACTCATTTCCAGAGGGTCTGCTTCCCAGCTCTTTATCTTATTTGTACCTCGGGAATCTTCCACACCTTAAAGGCCTAAACGGCACCGCCTTTCAAAACGTAGCATCCCTTGATTTAAGGATAAGGATGTGCAATGAGCTCCAGCTTTCGCCAGAAGAAATATTACAGCCAACTCATGTTCGCTATTTGGAGATTTATGAGTGTCCTTTCCTTGAACGAAGGTACCAGAGAGAGAGAGGGGAGGACTGGCATAAGATTTCTCGTATTCCCACCGTATATATTGAAGGCACTACAACGTGAGTATTTCCTTTTTTATCTTTAAAAAATTACTATGCGTATCAACGTGAGTATTCCACA